GGCGATGACAACCGACATGCATCGTGACGTCGCTTACATTGTGACGTAATGTAAAATGGTTCGATTACGAGGGGGCAGACTAGAATGGCGCAGTGACAGGATAACGTCATTCAATTGTTACGTCATCAAAAAACTATACCTTTATTGCCTGATAATGTATTTTGTTTTCGAATGTTCTACCCGCTAGGCATCTTAGAATACATTATAATGATAATAAGATGAAACAAAGCTCACAATAACTCAACTATATAATCACGCATTGACTCAATAAACATTCACATTGAAACATTAGAAGCATTTCAAAGTGTTTAGTTTAGCCCTATTGAATTGGCAACAATGTCGACATGATCAATATAACAGATAATATACATTAAAGGTAAGCGACTTTTGTGTTTCCACAAGCGAGTCCCAGTCCAATGTCTTCTATGACTATCAAGAGTAGACTGTATTATATCCGTTATGTATTGAGCGGCTTCAGTACTTAACGTGACTTGTATCCTAATATTGGGATATGTGAATATCTTTTTAAAAAATGAGGCATCATTGTGTAACAGCTGGTTAAATCGCAAAGTAATGTCAAGGGATCACATGACACGCTGTAGGCGTGAGGTGCGTTTTATTCAGATAATTCCTTAGTCATACATCTTAAAAACCTTCTTAGAAACATTTACACATTACATAATGTTTTGCATAGTTATCCCAATTAGTTTACCACAATTAATTATGTAGTCTAACAAATACACATCTAAACTATACCACATTATAAACTGTCAAGGGAAATAATAATCACATGGAACTACATGCACAACGTTGGTTGTGCCACCAAGGGAGATAATGCATTGCCAAATTAAACCTTTGCCCAAATAATGTACAATTAAACAATGTGTACACATAAATATACATCTGCCAGACAATGACGTCCACAATTAACATGACATACAACCAGATAACTATTTGGTAACCCTCAAAGGTTACCCAAAAGGTGTACATAAAAAAAGGATATACGTTTATACATTGACATATGAAAATACATCTTACCCATTTGTGGAATACAGCCTTACTGGTTAGACCATGTTGTGCTTGTATATGAGTTCATATGTGACATGCCCATTACAAACATCATGACAATACATTCACCATCACTGACGATCTCCCTTCAGACAATGCAAAGGAAATCACTGTATGCATATACACAGGAAAAGCTGAGCACAATGGTTACTCATACAGGAGATTCATCAACATAATAATGCTTTCACCATTTTTTCTTCTCTCCACTGACACAACATAGAAAACTATTGCACATCAATACATTTAGAAAACGGAGGAAAATGGTTGTGAAAACAGAACATTACTAACAATGCTATTTGGTTTTACATGAGTTATAATACAATACAACATGAACTTTGGCTTTAAGGTAATTAACCAAGTTTAGTAAGTTTACAACATGACCATACATTACAAATTACCAAATAACACTTAGACTGCAATTAAGTTAATGAAGTTATAAAAGAACAAATACACTTAAGCATAATTTAGTGTTAAAGTATTTTACTGACCTGTTTGATGGTGTTTGTCTACCAGTGGACCTTGTTGCCTTGTTGCCTGAGTGTTGTGCTGTGCTAAAGTGTTATTACAGGGGTGCTCAGATTGGTGCATGGGAATTAAGGGAATTTGAAATTAGCCAATTAAGAGCTAGGAATTAGGGTCAGGTGATAAACAATAATCCAGAATGAGACCATATTCTTGATCCAGCATATTTGGTGAATCCTACACATAATAAGCAATACTCGACAAATACAATCAAATATCAATATGATTGACAAATGCTTAAAACCACAAACTTTAGAATAGTACCACTAACCTTCAATATTTTAGTGACCTTTTTATGACTTATATACTATTTTTATTCTTATTTTGCTTGTAAACAATAAAACACTATGACACCATTTTATAGTCAATAATTGTAAAATAGTTCTATACAAACAAACAAAACTCATTTTTGAAAAACATGAAAAATGTCACTGATACAATCGTGTTACTGTGTTCGAAATGACACCACCTTCTCGCGTTAATGTAGAAATATCCTGATGTACTTTGTAGCCCTAATAAGTCTGCATCTATAAAGAATTCAACAGGAACGTGGTTTACCAGAGAAGCCTTAGCTTATTGATTAAAACTATTGATCTACGCAACTTAAGTCCCCCAAAACGCAGATCGTATGTACAGTGTTTTGCATGCACGGGTCAACTTTCACCTCACAGCCAACGTTGAAATACTGATATTTAAGCAGAACCAGTGGAAAATGCATTACATATAATTCTATATGTCTAATGCATTCTTTCAAAGAAGAGAATAGTTGACAGGCACCTTGTTAAATGTTGTTCGGCATAACTACGTTGTCAAGCCTCTGCTGAAAAAAACCCTGATCTGGACCCTCAGGAACTTTCGACCTGTCTCAATTTTATCCTTCATTTCCAACACAATTAAGAAGGCTGTGCACGTCAGGCTGAAAGACCATCTCTCCAAACATCATCTGTTTGATGAATTCTGGTCAGCGTACCAGCAATACCATAATAGGGGACTGTCTTACTGCTGTTGACGAATGAACGTAGGTGTGTTGTCGATGATGGTAGGATTGCTACTCTTGTGTAGTTGGACCTCTCTGCGGCCTTCGACACAATCGTCCACCATAGACTCTTGTCCAGGCTCAAACACCAGTGCGGGCTTGGAGATCATACCCTTCAATGGGTGACGTCTTATCTATCTGACCGACAGCAATCTGTTGTCGTTGGTAGTGAGAGATTAAAAGGCACTGTAATTACATGTGGTGTGCCATAGGGATCAGTCCTTAGTCCGGTCCTGTTTGTGATGTATACTGGATATGTCGGAAGGATAACCACAGTTTCTCACCATGCCGATGACACTCAGCTCCTGAAAGCATTTCATCTGTCAGATCTCTCCACGTCTCTTCAGTGCATCGCTGAATGTAGCAAGGTCAAAACTGACTCCCTTGTAGTTGCAGACGCAGACATCAACTGCTATGACGTTGTTTAGGATGAGGGTGTCCAAATCGACTCTTACTTGATTCTGGATGCTCATGCTAACCCTTTGAGCAGGACTTGCTACTTTCACCTAAGATCCATTGGTAACAATCTGCAACACCTGACAACTGCTGCAACTCAAGCCCTTTTTCGAGCTCTTGTTACATCGATGCTTGACTACTGTAACAACATCCATTCAGGCATCAATTCTAACCGCCTTGATAAGCTTTAAAAGATCCAAAACACTCCCCCACAAGACTACTATACGTTCACATATTACACCCGTATTGCAAGAACTGCATTGGCTATCCATTAATGGCAGAATCTACTTTAAGATCCTTTGTCTGACATACAAATGCCTGCATGATTTGACTCGTTCCTACTTGTCTGAGCTCCTACATCCGTATGTTTCCGCAGGCATCTTATGCTCAGACACATGAAATATACTGGTCATCCCATCCTACAAACTGAAATCCTTTGGATACCGATCGTTCTTTTACTCTGTGCTCTGTACACCTGTGCTTTGGACCTCTCTCCCTTTTGCCATTAAAACCTCCGACAAAACTGACAATTTTAAGTCCAGATTAAAAACCCATCTTTTCTTAGCATATTACTTCAATTGTAAATTTCAACTGTAAATACTCCAGTGTAAATATTCTGTAGGTACGGGCTTGGAGCATGCCTTAGGGTGTGGAGAAATATGTGAAATATGCATTAATTATGTATTATTATTATCATTGACTGTAGATACTGTTGCATCCATCACACAGGAGGAACACGTCACGACAGGAGCCAGTAGGCCATGTATTGTGTGTCATTCAAATCTCTGTTTATGGTCATCATGAACGGTGCCGTTTGAACATACATCAACACGCAGCTTTACCAAAACAAGAAAGCAGCAATCTGGAATGATTCCCATGAGATATCACCTCCAACTAAAGATAAATAATGACTTCTCAACGGATCTCTAAAGTTCCTGCCACTTTAAAAGTTTCTCTGTCGTATCATCGATTCGTGTGCAATCAAGCCCGTAGTCATAATCAGGAAAAGAGATACAGTGGTTGGCATACATTGCTTTGTGTCGATGACGTCTCTGTAAACTGTCGTGTCAACCCTTGTGACATTGGAATCTAAGTTGTCTGACGAAAGCAAGCTGGAACCAATCACGAATGTAATATCTCAGAAATAGGGAGCCATTGCGTAAAGTGTCTCACACGTGGGCCAGCAATGTTCGTCGAGTTAAAGGAACATAATGTATGTACGTATGGCGTAAATAAGTGGATTGAGATTTCACACCAGTTTCACACACAGCTCAAAGTACCAACATCACATGTTTTAGCAACTTCACGTAAATCTGTCACATAAACATCAATGCTTTCATCAGAACTCTGTGCTCTAGACCAAAATCTGTAACCTTCAGCAACAATGTTCCTCTTTGGAATGAAATAACCCTCCAATGTAGTTACAGCTGAAGCATAAGTTTTTTGCACCAGGTAACGTGTGAAATATACGTTGACATGGAAGTCCGAAACAATGAAGTAACGTTGCTCTTCTCATTTTATCTTCTTTTTTATCAACTTCACTGGCTATTTCAAACAATTTGAAAGATTCCATCCACAACTTGAATTCATTACTCAAGTCACTAGCGTTCATGTTCAAAGTTGGTGGCGGTCTAAGACCTGAATCTGCCATTATGACGAAATTCTCCAACACGTCAAACGAAGTTATAAACGTGTTATAGATGATGAGTAGAAGTAAATTCATTATGCTAGACAGTTCTGTAAGTGTTCAACACAAGTAGTAAAGATGATATCATGGGTTGACTGAAAAGCCACAAGTGCACGGGAAACATGGCGGAATGTATCTCTGACTACGGGTCGGCTATAGGAATTGCCATGTGTTTACGGATGTGACGTCACGACCCAAGCCGTGCCTCGCATTGGTAGCCAGGAAGCAGTAATGGCGGATCACAGCAAAGCGAATCGATGTAGCGTGAACGACAAACAATGGTCTGAATACGTGTTTAGACTTCCAGTTGAGGCCCGAGATAGGTATGTCAAAAAGCTGAAGTACAAAGGCGGAAGTTGCACTTTACCAGACCCGTATAATTTGCGAAGTGGATGGGTGGACGATCCGACCACATGGCCTGAAATTACTTTCACTGATATTTATTTCTATCTCATAGACACTCCAGGACAGTTTAAACACAATTCCATGCGTGCATTTAAGTCTTTGAAAGCCTATGAATGTGTTGAAAGTGGACATGTCCTACCGATCCAGTATCATGAAATTGAGAAAGAATCACCGTTTTGTTTGCTGAAAACAAAGGTGATACCATCACAACGTTTGAGAGACAAGCCTCACCAGCCTTGGGTCTACCCCCCAAAAAATACTGGGGCAGTGTACTGTGCACACTGTACATGTATGGCAGGGTAAGATTTTCTAAATAATAGAAGGTGCATTTTTCATCTTAATCTGTAAAATATAATAATATATTTAATGAAAATAGAACAAGAAAGTTAATATTTCCATTAAATCTTCACAACAAAATTATTTTGTCGACGGTAAGCATATTTTAAAGTCTCTATTCACAATGAGATGACAATATCCATACAATTATTGTTGTTGTTTTTTCAGACTTGGGGAAGTTTGCAGCCATGTTGAAGCTCTTTTTTTTAAAGTTTTAAAGTAAGAGCAGGTCTTACATCAAAGTCATGTACAAGCTATGCCTGTAGATGGAATGCCACATATCGAAAGGAGGTACATTTCCTAAAATAATTGAGAGATTGTTCGGAGAAAGCCAGTGCTATGACAGACAGGAGAATAATGGGATTAAGATTGCTTTGTGCTAAGTTGGTTGTAGGCAGTGGGGATGTAAATTGTAATACCTTTGGTCTCTGTTCATGGTTGGTTGGAGTCTCTTGATTTGAATGACCTTTAGTAGCTTTCTGCAGTGTGTGTGATTATTGGTGAGTACATTGATGCTGTTCCAAAGAAATCTTAATCTTACACCTGTCTCACTGGCTTCCTCCCAAAAATACCTCCATGGCTTATTATGTTTGTTAACAAATGCCTTCTTGTGTAAACATTCTCCAACCTTGTACATCAACCTCATTAATTGTGCTAACATCAATCACATACTGTTCAAATTTTACTATATAACCTAGCCTTCAGTATTGTATATGACTTGCTTGATAACAGTGTTTGTACCTACACCGAAACGTCACTCATATTATATTAAAGAAGTTGTATATCCATAGAACTCTCCTCGTTCATCCCGCCATATAGCTGGAATATTGCTGAGTGCAGTGTAAAACTCAACTCAACTCCTCATTCATCACACCAACTTCTAAATTCCACTCAAAGAAGTTAATGAAATTATTTAATTACTACAGTTTATTTTTTCCGCAGAGAGGCAAGATTTTTATTTCACAATTTCTTTTCAGCTCCAGTCTTCAGCAGTGCATGAAGTCCAGACATTATTCAGTTGCTGTCGGAAAAAGGAAGTCGAGACTACTTCTGCAACTGGAAAGTCTCTCGTCCCAGACAAAGATACCCTACAATCTCTGAAAGACATATTACCAGATGCAGTGTTTTTCAAATCAATACCTCTCTTGATGGTGAAGAGACTGACAGCACAGATGAAGATGGAGAGACAAATTCTTTTCCTCCAACTTTAACCACGCTAAAATTGGATAACCTGAATGATGAGGATGATCTGGCTACTGTTTGTGAGAAACAGTGGAGACAGTACAACTGTGAGACGGCCCAGATTAAAAACCTTGAACAGGTCACAAGAAATCAATCCATCAGTCCTCTGTGGTATGAACACAGAAAAGGTCGAATAACAGGGACAAAAAGCACATGACATCTTGGTCATGAAGAAATCAACTACTCCTACCAACATTGTGAAGAACGTTATGGGATATAACTGTCAATATTTATCAAAGTTGAAGGCTCTTGCATGGGGTGTTGACAGTGTAAGGCTCGTCACACTTATTCTCAACACGAGTCAGGGCGACATGTCAACTTTAAATGTTCACTTACAGGATTGTTGGTATCCAAAGTCAAACCATTTCTGGCAGTTTCCAGTGATGGTGCCATTGAGTGTGACTGCTGTGGCAAAGGATGCCTGGAAATATAATGTCCTTACAAACACAGGGACAATACAGTTTATTCTGCTATCAAGGACAGAGACTTCTGTTTGGATCAGAATTATCAACTGAAAGAAAGCCACAGATATTACACACAAATACAGTTACAAATGCATGTTCATGATTTTAGTTATTGTGATTTTGTAGTTTTCACCAAAGTTGACATGTGTATTGTCAGAGTAATGGCGTGATGAAACTTTCTGTAACAAACTTATCGACAAATGTGACTCGTTCTTTTCCCCATGTACAACCAGAGATTGTTGCAAGGAAAACTGAGAACACTTAACCTTCTCAATGTGCTGAGACTGACTTTGCTAACACTGGAGTGAGTGTGGAGACTGAAGTGTGGTGTCTGTGTCAACAGGAAGAGCATGGACGCATGATGCGCTGTGAAGGTTCCAACTGCTCATACACTTGGTTCCATTATGCATGTGTAAACATCAGAAGAAAGCCAAAGGAGATTGGTATTGCCCAAGCTGCATCATGGGTTGATTCCCACTGTGTGTACATTTGCTCTGTGTATAATTGTATGGAAACATTCAGATTTCATGTGTTTATATAAACTTAAAACATGACAAATAATTGTTGACATCATTACAACGGATTGTAAAATTTATTCCATCTTTAATTACTCTTCCACAATATTTATAAAATTATTAAAACAGACTGAACTTGTCCATTGTTTTATTACTGCATTTTGGGAATGTTCACATTGTTCATGCAAGAAGTTGAACATGCACATTACTGACTGGTATGTGCCATTAAGAAAGCTCAAGAAAACACTTGTGATAATTCATTTCCACTGAGTACAATTCTCACATGTTCACAATTCAGCTTTATAGTAGTGCTTTTTAAACATATGTTATTTAGGCAATACGTTTGGGGTGCAGATTTGTTATGGCACTGCAGATGGTTACAATGTTGTCTGCATGAGGCACAAGATTAATTTTCATGGTGGTGCTAAGAACCTTGAAGTTTTAAGTCTCTCTGTGGCCCTCTCAACATGGATTCTCACCCGAGATAGTTGCCGACCTGTTTCAATGTCCTTGGGACACAGTTGTGCCTTGCCTTTGGTAAAAGCAGGAATTGCAAGTTGCGCACCACATGCTGCAAGTTCATCTGATGATAAAAATCCACGATCTGCCAAAACTGAGTTATCAACTTGTCCGACAGTCGTCCACCAAAGGCTCTAGATACAAATGTGACAGCACCAACAGGAGACACAGCTACAAGAAGTAGTGTTGTGTGTAGTTTGACCATGTCATGGCTCGAGCTGTCAGATTTCCAGGTCTCTCTATGAATATCTCACAACAGTCAATGATAACCCTGCAGTTTTTGTATGTTCTCTTAATAACTTTCGGCATATGACGAATCACTTCTTCTTTGTCTGGCCACTGTATAAGGAAGGCTAATTGTTTCGCTAAAGGTGGCAGTGTAGAGTTGATAAGGTCAGTGACATGCTGACGCGAGACTCCGAATCTGTAAGCTAAGTCCATATCAGCTGTGTTCAGTCTTAGTTTCATCAACACCAACATTAGAACGCTTGCAGGGTTCAGCTTCATGGATGTTGGCAAAACAGAGGTACAAAACTGCACCAACCACAAAAATGCAGCATATGTTGGGATACCAGTATAAAAGACAGTCCTTGCATCTCGTATACCCCCTGCTAAGAAGGCATCTCCAAATTTAGCAATTCCAAGTTTGTTCCTTGTTTCTCTCAGTTCATCCTGCAGCACACTCAATTCATCTAAAAGCTGTCTGTTCTCCCTTTGTAGACTGGCGATTGTCTTCAGGCATGGGTCGTGTATATCTGAAAGTAAACAGCAAATTTTGAATACTGTAAATGGTACTTTAACAATGGCAGTAAAGTACATTATTACAAGCAAATTTGAACAAATGTATACAGAAACATGTTTACTCATGTTAACATAATTCAATTTGGATAGAATCGATGTGAGGTGTATACCCTGTATTTTAACCACCCCAATGATGTATATTGTCACACATTATAATAGCATAATGCAAAATAACAAGCACCTGCTCCTGTTTCATTTTCTTTATCATCAACATGATCCAGGGGAACCAGTGACTCCAAAGAATCATTCAGATGTTCACTTCTGTTTGTCACAATTGACATCTCCATCAGTACAGAGGCAGCATCTTTCATCTCTACAAGTTCTTTATTCCTCCTTGATTTGTCTTCATTCCTTCTGTTGACCCTCTGGAACCTGGCTCCGTTTTGGACTCTGGTGTGGCAAATTACCTCTTCTCATAACCCATATTGATATGAGGAATGAGACTGGATCAGTAGGATAATTCTTTGCAGAACCTGTCAACATGGTATCATATAAGACTTTAAAATAAGTTAAATAATGTAATACAATATAAATGAAATTAGAACATGTCATCAAGGTTCTATATGAAATAATTTACAGTAAATGAAATTGTTTTCAGCTTCAATTTTGTGATGGAATTATAAGTATTATCTATGTTCTAAAACGGCAAATGGCTTATTTCCACCGCATTTTCTAAATATATACACAAGTGCTAATCAAATCCACTGTATGACCAATGATCGAAAACAGGACAATAACATTCCATTACTTTCGAAAAGCTGATTCTCCGATTTAGTTTCTAGGGTAAATAATAAATGAAGCCGACTGAAATATATTCATAGATTATTTACTACCTGACAGAAAGTGGTCTCCAAAAAAACACGATCTCCATTGTGATCCGGGGTCCAATTTTTCCTGTTGATAGCTTTGAGCCACTTCGATCGCCGCTCACTTTCTTTCGGTATTCGATGGAATTTCACCCCAGATCCTGACTTGACACGGTTGACACATCCAACAACAACACATGATATTACCATACTGAACGAAATCGACGAAACTCCAACTCAAAGAAAAAGTGATGACGATACTTCGATATGAACGTGCTGGAATCTATGGTTCTGGCAATGCTTTCTGCCTACCGGATGCGCTTAGTGGGGGTCACGTGACAAAACCAATGACGTCAATGCGGCAATTCCTATATCGAGACTCGAAAAGTTCTGAGTTGAGTCAGCAGTTAGTTGGATTTCGTATAACTAACATGCCTAGTCTCACCACTTGAAATCCTAGGAAACAAACATCCTCGTCGCCAATGTAGTGTTCTATGGGTCCTTCACTGCATGACTTGCTGTTCCCAGGAGGAGAGACGAACTAAGCGTTGACGATAAGCCTTTTACTTCCCGAGTGCGAGAGCATCCCGTACGCCACGCACATGCACACTACATCAAATTACATCACATGATGTATAATATTACTATGCTACAGTGGCCAAGCTGAAGTAGTGCGGCAGTGGTGTATACGTGCGCAGTGAAGCACCGTGAAATCAGACGCATTTTTAATCCAAATTGATATCGTCTGATTTTATGGATTGACCAATCAATATCGAGCATTTCACGTAGCCATGGTAGTATTGTCAGTACGTCCATCCATGGATGTTCTTTGTCACAAAATTGAAACATACCGACTTGCATGTTTAAATTCACATTCAAATAAGCTACTGGATTTCTTTTGTCAAATAATGACACATATCAACTTTCATATTTAAAATGTTGGCTTCACATTCAGATAAGCTATTGTATTGTGGAATGATTTAAACGTTCCTAGGGCAATGCACAGATGACAGCTATTGACTCAATATCTCATCAATCTAAAACAAACACTCACCTGTGAAATGATAATTAGTATGTACTGTGCGTTATGTATGGCGGTGTTTGAAATGCTTAAATGACACGAGTGAAAACCAAATGCTTTTAACTGATCAAACATCAGATAGCCGTATGGAACGGGCAACGAGTGAATAGTGATCAACACGAGGCGATCACACTTTATTTATCTTATATAATCAAAAGAATACTTGCAGTATAAATTCATCATCTGACATTACAGTGTTGAATATAGTAAAAACGTTTCCAGTCAAGCTACAGTCGAATTCGCCGCTCTAACTAAGTGTCATCTTACAGCTTAAGCTACTCTGTCATGCATAATTCTGTACCAGTCGTAATTCTGGTGGTGGTATTGGTTGTAATCACGACTCTTCCGCTCAGTGTAACTATCAATCGAGCGATACACCAAGACTTACGAAGCAAACTACTCACAAACTATTCGCCAGAGATACTACCAACGACCAATGGTTTCGAGCCTCTCAACATATCTATGATATTTCAGCCATTCTCTGTTTTGGGACTTGACTTTGCTGATTCTGTTTTGACTTTTTCGGCAAAGTTTGTTATACACTTGAATGATCCCGATTTGACATGGAATATTGACAACTATGACGGACTTCAAGTGATTTTTCCCTCTCCTACCGATATCTGGACACCAAAGCCTCTCATATCCAACAGTGTGGACTCGAATTCGATTCTTGAAAGTGATAATCCTTTGGTGGTGTCTAATGAAGGATATGTTATCCAGAAGATCGCGAGTACCTTCCAAACCACTTGCAATGTTGATAGCACAATGTTTCCATTTGATAGTCAGAGATGTCGCATTGTTTTTGAGCCTCTCATTTTGTGTCATATTATACCGTCTGTATGGTGGAATGTGAATCCTTCTGGGATACAAACTTCATCTGAATGGCACATTGTAAACGCATCGTCGGAAACAGACTCACGTTCAATATACTTTACTTTACTCGTGAAACGTGAATCAACTTTCTACGTGACCATCATTTTGTTTCCCATGTGTCTATTGTCTCTCCTGAACGCCTGTTCATTCCTACTGCCCATCGACTCGGGAGAAAGGATGTCGTACCTGATCTCCATATGCATGTCTTATTCTGTGTTTCTGGTCTTCATCATTGACGTGATGCCCAAGTCGGGATCCCTATCAAGAATGGCCGTGTATCTGATTCTAGTTCTTACTCAGAGTTGTCTCGCCATTATAACCACAATGGTCGTCATCAACAAGGGCGCCTGTAGAAAAGGAGGATCTTGTTTAGGCCAAAGAACAGTATCATCTACCTATCCCAACGCATCTAACACTACAAATGACACTACTGGTACACATACTTTAGACATGATGTTCTTCGTATTCTTTCTCCTGTGGTGGGGTCTCAGCCTTCTGGTTTTCTTTGTATAAATAGAACATAATGCTCGGTAAACGCTCCATAATATTGTTGTTTAATGCTGCACTCAGCAATATTCCGGCCATATGGCGGTGGTCTGTAGATATTCGAGCCTGGACCAGACAATCTAGTGATCAACAGCATAATCATCGATCTACGCAAATGGGATATAATGACATGAGACAACCAAGTGAGTGAGCCTGACCACCCGATCCCGTTAGTCACCTCTTACGTCAAGCATGGATTACTAGGGACCAGTTCTAACCTGGATCTTCACGGGCGATTTCAAGAGAAGTTCCATTCAAGACTATGTCCAACTATCCAATTCCACTCGCGGCTTGTCAAACCAACTAAATGGTGGTATTTCTCAACAATTATATATCCGTTTTTGCCATGTATAGTTTTTCGCAGATATCATAAGAAGCTTAACCCACATTTCTCGTCAGTTGCATTTTTCAATGAAATGAACTCATTTTCAGTTTTCCTTGAGTTATCCAAGTCTCCGGATACAACATTCAATACGACAATTGTCAATCGGAACTGGTCGACTATGAAGTTATAGTGAGATATATGCAGCATTAATACATGCTATTCATCAGCGTGGTAATGCAAAAGAAGAACTGTCCATTGTATTATCAGAAAATTGAAATCTGTTTGTGGCTGTGTTCAAATGCTTTTCTGTTTACGTGAAGATATATGCAATAATACTGTTTCCTTTGCCAATCAAATGCATTGGAATTAATTGCAATACATTTGTACTTTGACCATCTATTTTGCATGATAATTAATATCTGACTTATATGAGATGTATTTTAGTATATGTTTGCTGATTAGTGTCCAGCGAAACCCCGGTTCTGTGAATGAAACGATTGTATTTGTGTCTTGTATGCACTTAGAGGCATTAAATACTATGTGTATACCATTATAGCTTTCTGTCACTGATCATATTGGTGTGAAGAACACCAGTTTCGTCCAACAGTCAGTCAAGATCTGAACAGCTGTGTACATCGTATGAGTGTATCTGTCGCAAGGTAATCTTAAACGTAGGGAGCCTTGACTGGCCATAGAGTTGATGGACTATGATGCATGACAGCATGGCGTTGGGGACCGCTGGTTTACAGCATGGCGTTGGGGACCGCTGGTTTACAGCATGGCGATTGCAATAGCAATTTGGGCAAATTTTCAGGCAAGTGACTCTCGATGAGTCGCATTTCACGTATTGTAAAGACATATATTTCCTACTCTATGACTAGAAGTTAATGGCTTATCCACGTGAGTGTTGCCATTTTCAGCATGGGTATTTCATGAATCTTAAATCTTAAACCATCTGAAGCTTCTTTTTTAAAGAAAGTTAAGACATGCTGACGATTTCTCGACACTGCAATCTCAAACGGCGGCCTTTTCTCTGCTGTTCGGACATGTTAACAATCAACTAACAAAGATGCACCCCTTCACAATATAAGACCTAACCAGTTGTGACACGGTCACGCAATGCAGTAGTATTCACTTGATCAGGTCAAACTGAACAAGCTGTAGTAACTGTGATAGTAGTTAGATTTTATTATATAATATGAATCATTTAAATATGACGATATGACTGAAATATTGCCAAAGTGACTTTCCATTATGACTCACTCACTCATGTGCAGTACCAGTGACTACAGATAGTCCGAGCTTTGTCATACGTTTGTCTTTTTATTGAAAATGAGAAAGTGAATGCTACCAATCACAACCGATCTCATTTTCAATGAGGCCAAGAAGACATTTACTGAGACGTTTCCATCGACAAAAACGTACGCATTTAAGCAGCACTGTACACATATGAACAAATATGCGGCAATTTTGTGTTCAATGCGGAGAAGGGAGATATCGAAATGTACGTTTCAAACAGCACTAGTGGTTAAAGCGTTCGCGCGTCACGCTGAAGGCCCGGGTTCGATTCCCCGCATGTGTACATTCTTTGAAGCCCCCGCCGTGATAATGATATTGCTGGAACATTGTTAAAAGCGGCGTAGAACCTAACTCACTCACGCACTCACTCTTCAAAGAAACATCTGACAGAGGTAGGTGCTTCGACAGCTCATATGTGTCCCGTTGACTTCCTTTATAACTGAAAAGTCAATGTCTTGCAATGTCTTCCAGATTTCGGTATCTGAACCTGATATAGCAACTGTGGAATGAACTCAGTAGACATGTATGTTAACGTTAACATACACCACAGCTACTTGCACGCCTGACCACTGTGTTGCAGGAGGAATGTAGGAGAATTAAACCGGACAGAATTCAATCTGAGCAATGATAACAGTTCACACAGGTCACACAAGATACTGATTAGTATCCCTACCATCGAGAAGGCATGACTACCCGAAGCCATTGCTAGGGTAGCAAACCCATGCTATATGACATTTTCTTTTGGCCTGTTATAATTTGACATCGTGTTTTGGCCGTTTTGACCTGCACCATAGTCGTCCTTCTGTAAACTGTCCCATTCGAAACCATCTCGAATGATCAAACCTCTAATCGCCAACGCCGTGTCCTTAATGGACTTTTAATCTTTCCAAAGTTGTTAAGAAATGTTATTCAACATATGTTTTGTTCGATTAAGAATTGTTTCCCTGGCATAACTCTCGCTGCTACTCGCCAACATATTCTGCCAACGTTGACCGAGTGAGTGAGTTAATATTTATCGTCACATCGGCAATATTTCAGCCATATCGTGACGATAACAGTTTATAGTTACATTAACGATCAATAACGTTAGAATTAAGAACCTGTTGACAAGAACAGTAAAACTACTAGTGTATCACAGATATCCATTTAAAACTAGTAATTAAATCTAAAATATTGGAACTATAAATGGCAATACAATATACAAACGGGCTGTAGATTGCAAACGACTGAAGGTAGATCACCATACTAGGGACCATGGGGACTTACAGAGCATTTGCTTCCTGCATGGACCCTAGCTGGATTTACACCATCCCTTCAGCCGTCAGCAATTTAGCAAATCTAGCCATATATAAAAAAAACACGTATTCAACGATTAAAAAAGTGGAAAGTTGTAATTTACTTTGAATGTTTCGGGACAAAAGACGATGTCGTATTGGCCAGTAGCAAGATCATTATATAATTGAGTAATTTCTATCAAAAGTGGATTTTTAAGGCTGTTAATATGGCATTTGCTTCTACTGTGAAAATAGAGCTGGTGTCCGGCAATCGAGAAGATATTGTTCTGGATACAATGACAGTGGCACAAGCAACTGTGCCACTATCCTTTGATCCATCTGTCAATAAGGATTCGTATGCACTTTATTTACTTTTTAATTGATTAAATTCGTGTTTATACTGTAATTCGTTAGTTTCTGATTTTATAAAATGTAGTTAATGTTAGGACGACAGTTGCCAAGGAGGAGAAGAAAGAAGACGGAAGGAGAATTATTTTCTAGCTCGATGCCAGCAGCAGAAATGAATTGTTTAATTCTGTGCCCAAGAGGCGGAACAAGAGAAGGTTTCTTGTTGTATAAATCCTAATAGAGGGGATTGAAGACACACTTAAATCCAGGGTTATATTCGTTAGAATATAGTTTTGTATCATGTTGTAAAGATAATTTTATACGGCGTTGTGTTAGAGATGGCTCATCGGCCTCGGCATAATGATTTCTCATAAAGAGAAGTTCTGAAGGACCCAGGACAGTCTCAGACCTTGATGGTGGATAGAATCTAATAGTTTTAGGTTGCTTTTACAAGCCCCACCATAAACGAGGGAGCCATAATCAAGTTTCAATCGGACCAATGATCGATATAGGTGTAGGAAGGTACTTTGATCCCCTCCCAACTTAGAACTGGAAATGACAAGTCAAGTGCCTTCAGACATTTACTTTTTAGGCATTTGATATGCGGAAGAAAAGTTGAATGGGTGTCAAAAATCAGACCCAAGATCTTGGCCTCCTTGACAACTTTTGATTGGAGTGCCATTTAAAAGTAGTTCTGGGTCTTTATGCAGTTTGTATTTACGGCAGAAAGGTATACAATTAGCTTTGAAATTAGAAACTTGCTACCTGCATGGACCCTAGCCGGATTTACACCATCCCTTCAGCTATTGACAATTTTAGATAATCTAGCCATAAATTAAGATAACATAAATGCTACGATTAAAAATAGTGGTAGGTTTAAATTAACTTTGAACTATTTCGGAACTTACGTACCCTCTCAGGAAGAAAATATTTTTACAATACTTCAACCCCCTTTGAGGGTACATCCACTAATAATCTCAGCTACTAATCCAAACTACCAATAATAAAATATTTAATTCTTGAAAGGGCAGTACAATCACTAATAAGTTTGTCAGCACGGAAACAATATACTATCACTAAAAAAGACGACATGGTCATCAATATCCCTTTCCACAGTGTCCTGTTCCTATTTTGAAAACTATTCATTTTTCCTACAAATAGCGGTACTTAAGCTGTTAAATGAAAATCTGTTCCAATTGGGGATTAAGTCAAGAAACGTATGACAAGGGCCATAACTCTGTAACAAATCGTAACACGGTTTCTGTTTTCGAACTCCATCAAGGCATTTATGTCCTGAAAACACATACCTCATTTTGTTTCCCTATCTACAACAACGTTTGAGAAAATCTGTCCCCTTTTGAGATACCGAGCGCTAAGTCAAGAAACACATGACCAGGGCAACAACTCAGTAACAAATTGTAACACGGTTTCCGTTTTCGAACTCCATCAAGGCATTCATGTCCTAAAAACACAAACCAAATTTGGTTTCCTTATCTACCACGGTTTTTGAGAAAATCTGTCCCCATTATCTTGGACCGACGGACTGAGATCGTGGCGAGGGCGGAGGATATAAACACGGACCATAGATCACCACAAAAGAGCGTTATCTGACCATACTAGGGCCATAGGTATTTCTGCTACCTGCATGTTTCTTTCGCAGATTTTACACTACACCTTTGGTTACTTGCCATTGTACATGTTTTTGCCATCAATACAAAAAAATTAAAATAAACGTATTGCTATTGAAACCATTGAAAGACACGGATATTATCAGGGGACAATATTTTTAAAGTACGAAGGCATAGCCACAAACAATATTAATCTATATATACTATCAATTGATAATGAACACCTTAGTTAATCACAATGTACCAATAAAATATATCTCTTTGATAAAATCTTTAAGGATTTTGTCGCTTCTACTTACACGTGCCTGGACAGTAAAAAGATACTAATGTTATGACATCTACTGATTGTCTTATAAATAGAAATCCAACACTCACCGGTAAAATGATACTTATAGTGTACTATTTGGCGCTGTTTGAAGGTCTTAAATGGAACTCATTAGTGGAACACAAATACTTTTAACTGATCAAACACCATACAGCCGAATGAAAAATACTTGATTACAAAATATTAACATAAGGCAATCATAGTTTATTTTTCTTATTTAATCAATAGAATACTCGAGGTATATACTCAGCAACTGTCACCAGAGTACTGAACATAGCAAAAGCATTTCTAACCAACTTACTGTGGAATTGTTCGCTCCGTAGAGACATCTTATAGCTGAAGCTACTCTGCCATACATATTTCTGAACCAGTGGTAACTCTGTTGGTGGTGATCACGAATCTTCCACTGAGTGTAACCATCGATCGAGCGATACACCAAGACTTACGAACCAAACTGTTCACAAACTATTCGCCTCAGATATTACCTACGACCAAAGGTTTCGAGCCTCTCAACACACCTCTGACATTTCGAAGATTCTCTGTTCTGGGACTTGACATTGCTAACTCTGTTGTGACATTTTCGGCAAAGTTTGCTATGGAATGGATTGATCCCGATTTGACATGGAATACTGACAACCATGACGGCCTTGATGTGATGTTTCTCTCTCCCACCGAAATCTGGACACAAAAGCCTCTCATATCCAACAGCGTAGACTCAAAGCCGTTTCTTGAAGGTGATAATCCTTTTGTGGTGTATAATGAAGGGTTTGTTCGCCAGAAGATGGTGAGAACTTACCACACCACTTGCAACGTTGATAGCACAATGTTTCCATTTGATAGTCAGAGATGTCGGATTATATTTTAGCCTCTCATTTTGTGCAATGTTATGCCATCTGTATGGATGGATATGACTTCACGGTCAATATATTTACTCTACTCGTGAAACGTGAATCAACTTTATACGTGATAACCATTTTCTTTCCCATGTGTCTGTTGGATGGACAACAGCTGTAT